CCAACCTCGCCTGGGCACCCTTCAGCTCGAGCCTGCGGCGGCGAGCCCGGAATGCAACCCGCAGCCAACGGCGAAACGGGCTGCGACTGCTCCTCCTCGATCCTCCTCGATCCTCCTCGATCCTCCTCGATCCCCCATCACTCCTCGCACCTCCTCCTCCCCCTCGTGCTTGTTTTCCTCATCCCTTGCTTCTCTGCGCCCCTGGCTGCAGAAATGTCATCCGCTCCTCGCCTCTCGTTTCCTCTCCTCCTCCTCCTCCCCCTCATCCTCCTCCTCCTCCTCCTCCTCCTCCTCCTCCTCCTCCTTCGCCGTTTCCTCCTCTTCCTCCTCCTCACCCCTCCTCTTTCCTCATATTCATCCGCATCCTTCTGATCGTCACCCTCATCACCAATCACATCAACACCACCATCACCAGCATCATCAACAACATGAACACAATCATCAACAGCATCAGCAGTGTAAGCATCAAAAGCAGCAGCATCCGTACCATCACCATCAACATCCTCACCCGCATGATCATCACCATCACCATCACCATGACCATCACCATCATCATCATTATCGTCATCGTCATCAGCACCAGCATCAACATCACCATCATCAGCATCATCGTCATCATCATCATCATCAGTATCACCAGTATCACCATCAGCATCAGCATCAGCATCATCAGCATCAGTATCATCAGTATCATCATCATCATCATCGCCACCACCACCATCACCCTCACCATCACCTTCACCATCACCATCACCATCATCATCATCATCATCATCATCATCATCATCACCATCATCATCATCATCGTCGATATCGTTGCTGAAGCGTGCCGAAGCGACCAGGGCCGTGCGACCGTGGGGGGCAGCCGAGCACGCGACAACACCTGCGCACGTGGACCTCCCGACCCCAGCAGCCGCCCTCCGCCTGGGAGCGGGCACGGCTACGAGGGCGACGATCAGGACTCGCGGTGACGGGATGAAGCGACGACCCTCCTCCTCCTCCTCCTCCTCCGCTTTTCCAGTGGCTCACTCATCACCCTACTCCAATCCATGACCAAAGGGGTTGCGGGAAAAGAATAATTAATTAAAGGTATGGTAATAACTATAAATCATCACTTGAAAATTGCGGCCTGTGCACGCGCATGGGATACAGAGGAATGCCCTTCAGATACTTGCGGCCGCTCTCAAGCTGGGAATTTATTGCCGTCGAATCTGCATTCAGGCGTGCCTTCTCGCCCACCTGAGCGCGCCGACGCACAAATAGTTTCGGGCCCGCGGCCCTCTCCGAACATCTTGACCTCCAGCCTCGCAACTCCTGCTCCCGTTCCCTGATGAAGGCCGCCTCGTCCAGTCTAGCCCGCCTCCGCGCGAAGGGCCGCGGCCACACGTGCAAGGCCCGCTCCGACAGGTAGGTCCTCCACTTGACCAGCTCCAGCTCGCGGGCGCTGATGAAGTCCTGGTGATCGGAGCTCTTCCCAGGGATGACAACTCTTTCGCTCTTAGGCTGCTCGGCGTTGCAAGTTGAAGGACGGCCTCCAGAGCCAAGATCAGGAGAGCCTCATCGACAGGTACGGGACGAGGGGATCCAGACCTGTCTAACTGATGATCTGCACCCGAAGGCCCGCCAGCAGCGTTCGTGTACGCAGACTTCTGGTGCCTTCCCACACACCTGCAGGGCGCCCTCGGCCAGCGGCATGGCTCCCAGTGCACCTCCACGGGCTCGGCGGTGCTCGAGAAAACCGCGGCGCCGCAGGAGCATCGCGTGCCCCGAGCAATAAGCTCCCAGCCAGCTCCCTGAGGTATGAAGGCCACGGCGTCCGCGCGCAGCAGCGTGCCCGTCTCCGATGGGGGCGAGGGCTCCTGCGGAATGAAGGTAGCAGCACTAACACTCAAACACGAACTCGAAGAACAAATTGAATGTTCACAAGTACTCAGCGCCAGGAACACCTCCAGCACCTCCGCGCGCCACACGACACCACCAGTGATGGGGAGAGGCGGCGGCTCCCGCGGGAAGTCTAGGAAGAGGCCCCGAATAGAAGGAATGAGGTCCTCGGCGCCAAAGTCGCACAGCTCCGCGCCGCCGTCGGCCCCCAACCGAGGGCCGTGCTGCGCGCCTCGCCAGGCCGCCATTGGCGCCCCCGCAAAAGGGCACACCTTGGCGTGGAGCGCGACGTTCCTCACCAACCGGTCCGGGTGAGGTTCCTCACGACCGCAAGCTCTGGCCGTGAGCGCAGGGCGGGCCAAGGCCTCGCGGCGCGCGACCTCCACAGCGACCGCGCCTGAGGCCTGGCCACCTCCCAGCTGGGCTCGAAGTCGGCCGATCTCGGCCAGCAGCTTGGAGACGAGGCGGTCAGCCGAAGCGCGCGCCCCAGCCGCGCCTCGCAGCACCGGCTCCGGTGCCTCCGAGCAGGATCCCGCAGCCATCTTTGCCATGCGCGTCCCGTCCGCCGGTTGAACCAACGCCTATGGGGCCAGGCGTCTGGCATGAGCCAAGGGGGGCTACGGTCCTCCTCCTCCGCCTCCTCCCCCTCCGCCTCCTCCGCCTCCTCCTCCTCCTCCTCATCATCTTCCTCCTTCTCCTCCTCCTCCTCCTCCTCTCCTCCTCCTCCTCCTCCTCCTCTCCTCCTCCTCCTCCTCTCCTCCTCCTCCTCCTCCTCCTCCTCCTCCGCCTCCTCCTCCTCCTCCTCCTCCTCCCTCTCCTCCTCCTCCTCCTCCTCCTCTTCCTCCTCCTCCTCCTCCTCCTCCTCCTCCTCCTCCTCCTCTCCTCCCCTCCCTCCTCCTCCTCCTCCTCCCTCCTCCTCCTCCTCCTCCTCCTCCTCCTCCTCCTCCTCCTCCTCCTCCTCCTCCCTCTCCTCCTCCTCCCTCCTCCTCCTCCTCCTCCTCCTCCTCCTCCTCCTCCTCCTCCTCCCTCCTCCTCCTCCTCCTCCTCCTCCTCCTCCTCCTCCTCCTCCTCCTCCTCCTCCTCCTCCTCCTCCTCTCCTCCTCCTCCTCCTCCTCCTCCTCCTCCCTCCTCCTCCTCCCTCCTCATCCTCCTCCTCCTCCTCCTCCTCCTCCTCCTCCTCCTCCTCCTCCTCCTCCTCCTCCTCCTCCTCCTCCTCCTCCTCCTCCTCCTCCTCCTCCTCTCCTCCTCCTCCTCCTCCTCCTCCTCCTCCTCCTCCCCCGTCTCCTCCTCCTCTTCCTCCTCCTCCTCCTCCTCCTCCACAATTACTCAATATGAATACTACTCTCCCCCTTCCCCTGATGACGGGTTGGGAGTGTTCGCCCCGCCACCGCGCACTGTTTCTTTACACGCAGGATTCCCCTGAGTTGGGTGTTCGCCTGCATATGTTTGAGGCGCCGGCCTCATTTTCGGGCCCCGCTCGTTCCGAATCGTGCTCCCGTTGCAACGCTGGCCTCATTTCGTACTTCCGTTCGTTCCGAATCGTGTTCCCGCTGCAGCGCTGGCCTCATTTCCGCGTTTCCGCTCGTTCCGAATCGTGTTCCCGCTGCAGCGCTGGCGTCATTTCCAGCGCCATGCCACGGCATGCAATGCAATGCTAGGTTGCATTCCGCTGCGCGGTGCCATGCCTTCAGCTGAAGCTGTGATATGCAGTGCTTAAATGCCACGTCGTGCTATGCCATGCCACGCTTTGATCTGCAACGCCATGCTATGCAATGTTATGTTCGGGGCCGCTGTGCGATGCCATGCTTTGCGTTGCAAAGCTTTGTGATGCAGTTCTTCACTTCGCCACACCACGCCATGCTGTGAGATACTACGTTTTGCGGTGCTCTTCTACGCCATGCCATGCCGTGCTCTACAATGCATCGCGTACGCTTTCGGGATCATTGCCCTGCTCGACATCCGACTGTGCGAGTAGAGAGGGGATCTACGCCATGGTAAGGGATGCGAGGGAGGGGTAGCATGTCAGATATGGCGCTAGCGCACCTAGCTTGTCCTCCTCCTCTTCCTCCTCTCCGCCCCTCCTCCTTCCTCCCCCTCCTCTCCCTCCTCCTGCCCCCCCTCGTCCTCCTCCTGCTCCTCTCCCTCCTCCTCCACCTCCTCCTCCTCCTCCTGCCTCCTCCTCCTCCGCCTCCTCCTCACCTCCTCCTCCTCCTCCCCCCCCCCCCCTCCTCCTCCTCCTCTCTCCTCCTCCTCCTCATCCTCCTCCTCCTCCTCCTCCTCCTCCTCCTCCTCCTCCTCCTCCTCCTCTCCTCCTCCTCCGCCTCCTCCCCTCCTCCTCCTCCTCCTCCTCCTCCTCCTCCCCTCCTCCTCCTCCTCCTCCTCCTCCTCCTCCTCCTCCATCCTCCTCCTCCTCTCTCCTCCTCCTCCCCTCCTCCTCCTCCTCCTCCTCCTCCTCCTCCTCCTACTCCCTCCTCCCTCCTCCTCCTCCTCCTCCTCCTCCTCCTCTCCCCTCCTCCTCCTCCTCCTCCTCCTCCTCCTCCTCCTCCTCTTCCTCCTGGAGTCCTGACGAAGGTCTCGTTCTGCACGGGAGCTCGGTGACAGCGATGACGATCAGTCTCGGTAGCTTCAGCCGTTAAATACTTGAGCCAAACGGTAACGGGGACACCTTCACTCCCCAGCCACCTGAATGCTCACATGTTAACACCCCCCTCGGACGCTAGTCCGCATAGGCTGACGGGGAGGCGTCAACAATCACGAAAACAGGTCAAGCTAGACAAAACGTCGCACGCAAATGACGTTAAGCCTCAAGTCTCTTCATCACACGGTTGAATTCGAAATGTCTCGTGACGGCGCTTACGAGCACCAAGTTTCTCACACATGTAACCTGAGCTCGAGTAAACACTTTTACTGTCACAAGTTCAAACGAAGCATCTAAAGTTTACACAGCAAGCTAGCAATTGGATGATTTTGGTTGCTTTCGCTTTTATTCGCCAATACCTGCGGTAACAACAAGAGATGCGCATGCAAACAAACTCAGCTCAACAGGCTGCTGCCACTCGATCGTTAAGCCAAGTTAAGAGGGGAGATGAGGAAGAGCGTGAACTGCAGCAGGTTGACTGCCTGCCATCTTTCACGGACGGCGCGGGCGCCTCGCCGACGGCGCCCGTGAACCCCTCGACCTCGGTAACCCGCGACGGCCCACGCCGGCTGCGGTGCAGGACGACACCCTGTTAAGGGCCTGCGTCTGGTCGTAGTAATCGTCGCCCATGTACGCGTTAATGCGCTCCTCGTCGTTAAGCCAGCACCCTTCATCGTGGCTCTTGATTGAGCCGTCAACGATGTTGCGGTAAGTGCCGATGGCTCTCCAGTAACTGGCGCGGGGAGCCTTTAACAGAGGCCCATCGCCTGGATTGTTACGGAGGTGCTCTTCGACCGCAGCGCCGGTAAACGGGTTCACAGTCCAGGCCGGATCGGTAAGCCAGTTGGGGAAGTCGTCGCACGGTAACCAGCCAAACCAGCAAAGCTTCTCACGGTGATCGCTTTTACGCTCGGTGACATGATCGGCCGGCCAATTATCACGGTAAAGTGCCCTCATGGATCCCTGATCGTTAAGGGCAACTTCCAAGACGGTCTGGTGCCAGTAAACTGGAGGCTTGCTCATCCTGCCCTTTAACTCCGCGGTGCTCCTGACCTCGAGGTCGTCGATGTAGTAGTTACGGTAATGCACCTGGAGCCCGTTCATGCAACGGCAGCAAAGCCTGGCAAGATCGGGCGTCGCAAAGCGAATCACGGTAACTCCAGTCGAGATGTAACCGTGCGGCCCATGGGCGTCCTCCACCAGGTGCTTAACGGAGATGACGGTGGGGTTGCCGTGGGGCAGCATTCCTGCCCACGTTAAGGAGGCCGTTAAGCTGCTTCTCGTTCATCTCCGGCACCTCGTTGACGTACACTTGCGTGTCCGCGCAACTGTGGTGCTCAAACCGCGATGGGTGAAGCTCGTTAAGGTGGAGCGGTGGCACGTAGTCATCATCAAATAGGGACTGCACGTGCCCAACCGCGTCAACCCATTCATCATGCTTGGCCAACTCTTTGTCCGTTAACTGAGACCTCCAGCTGATCGGACCTTTCAACACGGCATAGCCGATGAAACCGTAAGCGTGTTGGCCGAAGATGTCAACGAACACGTCCTCGTAATCGTTAAGTTCCCGCCCGGTGTTGCCCTGAATGGCCCTGCCGCCAGGGGTCGCTAACCCCGCCTTCGCCACGTGCCAGACGAAGTTACCCTCAAACCTGCGCCAGTTATCACGTGTCTTCATCGTTAAGGCTACACATCCCTGGGATCAGGTTCCGCCCGAAAGTTAACGTCGTAGTCGTCGCTCCTGTTGTTCAGCATGGACATGCGACCGTTGACGTGGTACAGCGGGCGGTAAGTGGTGTCCTTGGCGACGATCCTGGAGTGCCTCTCAACCTGATCAATCGCGCGGTTAACGACCTGAGGCTGCGGCGGCGGGATGTGCTGGAACGGCAACCTCTTGGCCTCTGGAGGCGGGGGCTTCGCGCCGGTAACGCTGCTTGCCGCTCCGGACTCGCCGAACCCCGGAGGGGGCGGCTTGGCCGGCCTCGCGTTTACGACGGGGGCAGGATTCTTTGGCGCCTCATCACGTTGACCACCAACCGTTCGATCCTCGTCCATCTTGATGCCTATCTGCCTCAACTCCTACAGCTCCCGTTGACGTTCACGCATGGCCTTCGGCGCCCGCTTGTAAGCAGGCTGTGGCTCTTCACCGCCCTGCGGGCTCAACGGTGACGCTCGAATCTTGTTCGGTGACACGGACCGCCGACTCCTCCCGGCTTTAGCGGTTACGCCAGCCAGGTCCTGAGTAGGGGGAGCCTTGCCTGGCGGAGCCACGTTAACCTGCTGCGCTGGGGGCGCGCCCGTGGCCACGGGCCCGGCTGCCGCGGCGGCGGCAACGGGCGGCGCCTTGGCGGGCGCTGCCGTCGGGGGCGACCAAGGCAACGGCGGCGGCGCCGGCGGAATATCGGTAACCGAGGAGTTGATCGGGTCATCCAAGAACTTCTGCAAACCCTCAAGCCTCTCGGTAACTCCCATTAGAATACGTAGCACCGCATCACGTTTACCTTCGAGGTCCTGCAGGGGCGTGATATTCTCGGTAAGGCGCCTGGCGGTAATCAAGAGGCAACCGATATTTTCGTTAATGCGCCGGTACTTGGTTGCCTTCTCCGCCGCGTTAACCTCCGAGTCGCGATTCTTGATGTTCAACTCTGTCACCATCGCCACAAGGTTGTTAACCTCGTCCTGCGCCCTCTTGAGGTTCTCGTTGACATCGTCGTTGGCGTGAACCAACGCGGTGTTCTGCTGCGTTAAGTCAACGATCCTCCGCGCCATATCATCGGCGACCCTCTGCATCTCGTCAACGTGCTTATCATAGGCCCCGTGGAAGTTAACGGTCATGTTGGTGAGGGTCACGGTGAATGCACGAGCCACGTTGACGATATCGTCGACGCGGCGATTGAGGTTCTCGCGCGTAACCGGCCCTGCCCCAGGCGGGCTCTGGTCGACCGCCGCGCCGTTGATCGTACGTTGACTTGCTGGTCCGC